CAGAGTTTGTGGCTTTCAAAGCCTTTTCAAACATCACCAAATCGGTTTTGCGAACCATGGTACCATTGGAGGCATAGGTACAGTCCGTAGGTAACTCCTCTTTAGGTTGAGAGGAAGTGGTGATGGTACCAGCTTTAACATGAGTGTCTTACGGCGGAGGTTCTGACTTCTCAGGAGTACTGGGTATGTTATTCACCATAGTCTGAGTACCCTTCTGTGTCACAGAACGGGGACATGGCTGGCAGCAACCTTGGCAGCTTCTAGACGGTGTTTCTGAGATGACTGCATAAGTCCGTAGGGCACCCAATAGAAGAGGTCTTTGCCTGGGTGGACGAATTGGGCAGAGAGTGATGAAATGCCCTCTTTCTCCACAGTATAGGCACAAGCCATGGGCTCTCCTACGGTATTTTTCCTTTAGAGGCAACCTAGTCCTGGTAAATCCAATCTCCATAGGTTCCTCCCTGTCCAACGAGGTGCTATTGCTAGCTGGAGTACACTCAGGGTAACAGGACAGGTTCCTGGAAGTGGGTTCACACTGGAACGAGACGGGAACTTGATAAGTTTGTACATAGTCTTCTTTAGGTAACCGAGCTCTGTGGGTACTTTGAGCCGGTTTGGGAGTTTCCTTCTTAGAAACCAAGCACTGTGAGTCCATTGCGGACACAAACGCCTCCCAAGTGTCCAAGACAGTACTATTCTCTTGCAGCTTCTGATATGCCCATGCCTTAATACGTCCAGAAAGTACATTGATAGCAGAACGGACTTTGATTAATTTGGTGACGTAGGTTCTGGGTTTCAAGGCAAACAGGAGTTCACAGTCCATCTTGAAAATCGAGAAAGTGGAACGGGAACCGTCAAACCTGTCAGGCAGTATGACATAGGGTTCTGGATAAGCAGGTTCTGGGGCTGGGTGTACTGTGCCTTTAAGAAATAAAGTTTCTTGCTGCAGCTCCGAAAAAATCTGGGCCAGGCTGGACACTTGCTGGGACAGGGGTGAGCACATCTCTGCGGACTCCAATGGTCAGTTCCTTATGTCTGGGGTTACTTGGGTTGGGAGTCCGGCAGGCAGAGATGTATGCTCACCCTTGCAAGTAAACTCAGGCCGAGGTGGTCAGGTAAGAATTCACCTGGCCTGTGAGTCGGTGCACGGGGGCTGTGCAGGATAATTCTCCAAGTCGCAGTACAGGAACAGATAAAGCAGGAGAATCGTCGTGGGTAAGCCAGAGGTCAGAGGGTGCCAGAAATCAATATTAACGAGAAGAAAGCCGAGGTCAGAGGATGCCAGAAGTCAGGATATACGGAGTAACAAGCCAAGGTCAAGAATCAACAGGAGCACACTGGAACACAAACAGCAATACGGAACCAGAGTCAAGGAACTGACACTGCCTTCTGGGAGAGGCAGTGTTTTATACCTGGCTAACGAGACCATCAACATAAGGTGTACCATGAGAGACAGGAGAAACGTCAATGCATGTCCAGCCCCCAGTACTGGATACAAGACAGAGCTGGATACTGGCATTACTAAAGCTGAATGGTGGCTCAGAAGTAACATAGCAGCACCAGGACTGCAAAGTACCCAGGTTCAAATCTGCTCCTGGGGCAACCTTGTTTGGCACTCTGGAAGTTACAGTGGGAACCATGACAGAGCTGTCCTCTGAGCTCTTCCTACTCAGCTTCCCTGCACCCTGCTGTGATGCTGGAATATGATGTCACTCCAGCTCCTGGCATCACTATGAAGTGTATGAGGGAGCTGAGCAGGAGGATTACTGCACCCTTGTTGCCTCCATTGACTGACTCACCACCTGCCTGCTGAGCAGCCAGCTCTTTAGGACCCCATAGAAGAATCCACTCCAGCTCTCCCAAAGGTAGGGAGGCTGGGTGGATTTAAATTAAAATTACAATATATATATTGAGTGAATGTGTGTGTCTGTAAGTGAATGTATTTCACTGTATGTGTATCTGAGAGTGGGTGTGTCAGTGTATGTTTGTCTTCAACAGGAAGATATGCAGCCATGTGATACATAGTTAATTTACATAATACATGCATTTTTATCACAATTGTATTTTAACCTGTGTGTGGGTATTTCCACACAAGAGTGTTGTGAGCTGCTTATCCCTATATTCACAATTTTAAGCGCTTGACAAGATCACACTACTTCACACCATGGAGTGATTATCTGTTTCTTCTAAACGTAAGGCTTATTTTATATAACTGTAAAATAAGCCTCACCTTTAGAAAATAAGAAATAAAGCAAACTAAGCCAAGGATATAGTAATGAAAGAAAGCACAAAGGAATATTGTGCTTGTAAAAAAAGTTCCATTATTCTGCCCACACACACTATACACTCTATTAATTGAGCAGTTTATAGTTGGAGTATTTGTTTATTTTTTTTTAACCATAACCTTGAGAATATTGCTTTCATTGCCCAACCATCACTGCTGCTAGCTAGGCTTGCATTGTATCATACTTGCATACAAATTATTGTGAGGCGCTGTTAAAAATATATATCTCTATAGTATTTGAAACTATAACAAACTGAACGCACCACTTTTTGCCTTCACTGCCAGAGTGTAGTTTATTTTGCACTACTATATTTTTTTCAAGCTCAATTTCCATTCCAAGCTGATATATTTTCTGTGGACCTTCTGTGAAGCTTTAAGTAGTGTAATAATAATAAGTAATTGATTTTAGAGTTGTGACCCACATGCACTCCCTAGTGGTCACAAAGAGAATATTCTGCCCAAAGTAACCCAAATGTTGTTTGGAGTATCAGTATTCCAATCTTTCATTTTGTCCTAACGGGTGACTTTTTAGTAAGTATACATAATAATGTTTGCAAGTTTATTTTTGACACTATGGTTTATGAAAGTTTAGCGAAGATGCAAATATGACCGACTTGTCTTCCCTTGAATTGGACAGACTAGCTCATGTGACCTATCTTAGAAATACTTTGGTTCTGGATGTTGTTTGGACAAGTGGATGTTTAACAGAAAATAAAATGTTTTAAGAACATGGAGATGATTTTCAGAAGAATAATAATGAAATCTGGCTTTAGCATAGAGTAAAACATGCAATATCAAGGAGACAAAAGGACTTTATTCCAACACACGTTACAGGCAATTTAAAAAAAAATAAAAAAAAAAAAAATATATATATATATATATATATTGGATAGTTAATACTATGCAAAACAAAAATCTGCACACCAGTCAAGCCATAAGACTTGCTTTTCCCACAGAAATCCCAAATCAGCAGTGATGTTACAACCGCAAAGGATTCTGGGTGGGCATATGCAAATTAGTTTAACAAAGAATCACATTTTTGCCTCATTCCATTTTAAACATGGATTCCTTTTAATTTGTGTTTGCAGTATACAACTGCTTGGAACACAATTTAGGATAAGATGCAAAACCAGTGAACCACTCATGGACAGCTGTTTCGTTGTTAATGCAACTCTTCAGCATGAGGTTGGTTACTGGTTTGCTTAGTGAGGCTTGGTAGTGCTTGGGAAGCAAAATCCAAATAGGTTATGGTGGGGAAAAATTGTGATTGAAAACCCCTTCCACCTGAAGTATGTGGATAGTTAATACTATGCAAAACAAAAATCTGCACACCAGTCAAGCCATAAGACTTGCTTTTCCCACAGAAATCCCAAATCAGCAGTGATGTTACAACCGCAAAGGATTCTGGGTGGGCATATGCAAATTAGTTTAACAAAGAATCACATTTTTGCCTCATTCCATTTTAAACATGGATTCCTTTTAATTTGTGTTTGCAGTATACAACTGCTTGGAACACAATTTAGGATAAGATGCAAAACCAGTGAACCACTCATGGACAGCTGTTTCGTTGTTAATGCAACTCTTCAGCATGAGGTTGGTTACTGGTTTGCTTAGTGAGGCTTGGTAGTGCTTGGGAAGCAAAATCCAAATAGGTTATGGTGGGGAAAAATTGTGATTGAAAACCCCTTCCACCTGAAGTATGTGGATAGTTAATACAATGCAAAACAAAAATCTGCACACCAGTCAAGCCATAAGACTTGCTTTTCCCACAGAAATCCCAAATCAGCAGTGATGTTACAACCGCAAAGGATTCTGGGTGGGCATATGCAAATTAGTTTAACAAAGAATCACATTTTTGCCTCATTCCATTTTAAACATGGATTCCTTTTAATTTGTGTTTGCAGTATACAACTGCTTGGAACACAATTTAGGATAAGATGCAAAACCAGTGAACTACCAAGCCTCACCAGCACTACCAAGCCTCACTAAGCAAACCAGTAACCAACCTCATGCTGAAGAGTTGCATTAACAACGAAACAGCTGTCCATGAGTGGTTCACTGGTTTTGCATCTTATCCTAAATTGTGTTCCAAGCAGTTGTATACTGCAAACACAAATTAAAAGGAATCCATGTTTAAAATGGAATGAGGCAAAAATGTGATTCTTTGTTAAACTAATTTGCATATGCCCACCCAGAATCCTTTGCGGTTGTAACATCACTGCTGATTTGGGATTTCTGTGGGAAAAGCAAGTCTTATGGCTTGACTGGTGTGCAGATTTTTGTTTTGCATAGTATTAACTATCCACATACTTCAGGTGGAAGGGGTTTTCAATCACAATTTTTCCCCACCATAACCTATTTGGATTTTGCTATATATATATTGGAAGGCATGGCCTGAAGTTGTGGGAGGGGCTATAGACCTATAAAAGGGACTCCCCCCTTTCCCTACTTACCTTTGTTGGTCAGACGAATAGCCCCACCCTCCACTCCCATTGTTCATATTTCCTCTATGTAAGCCCACTTTTTACCGGCTTACAGCATATGTCGGTTTCGGCACACCTCAACCGATTATTCCTAAAGCTACATCTCTACAACCCATCTTATTCTATATCATATGAGAATTCCCCGAACACAAATATATATATAAATGTAAAAAAACAGATCAAATTCGTATCTTGTAATACCTTTTTTATTGGACTAACAGAAATTTTTAATGACAAGCTTTCGGGAGAACCTCCCTTTCTGAAATGCTTCAGACTTGAGAAAGGGAGGTTCTCCCGAAAGCTTGTCATTAAAAAATTCTGTTAGTCCAATAAAAAAGGTATTACAAGATACGAATTTTATCTGTTTTTTACATCTACATCACTGGACTAATACGGCTATAATCTCACTATATATATGCCTATGTGGACTCCATGCTGCCTCCTTCCTCCACTCCTTCTGTGCAGCTCTTTGTGAAGCAGGGAGGAAGTGACAGACTGTCATCACTATCTCCTTGCCGGCTGATACTATGGTTGGCTCTTAAAGGGCCGGCAACCCACCGGCCTCTGCTTAGTGAGTATGAAGGAGGAGTGGGCACAAATGATGTATAATATCCTGGTTATCCACACAAACAATCTGATATACATTGTATGTCAGATTGTGTGTGTGATTTCCAGGATATCAGACATCCCAAGTCTCCCGGTAGTTCTAAGTGACTTTGTGTATCTGTATGTCAGTGTGTGTATCTGTGTGCTTGTGTCAGTGTTTGTGTATGTCTATGTCAGTGTATCTGAGTGTGTGTCAGTGTGTGTGTATCTGTATGTCAGTGTGTGTATCTGAGGGTATATCTCAGTGTGTATGTGTATCTGAGTGTATTTGTCTGTGTGTATATATGTGTGTGGATCTGAGAGTGTGTGTGTGTGTATCTGAATGTGTGTCTCTCTGTGTCAGTATCTGCGTGAGTGTGTATCTGTGTGTGTGTGCGTTTATGTGCTAGTGTGTGTATCTCAGTGTATATCTGTGTGTCAGTGTGTATCTGAGTGTACATGTCAGTGTGTGTATCTGAGTGTATGTCAGTGTGTGTATCTGTGTGAATCTGTATGTATCTGGGTGTATGTATCAGTGTGTATAGCTGAGTCTATGTGCCAGTGTGTGTGTCTGTATCTGAGTGTACATGTCGGTGTGTGTATCTGAGTCTATGTGCCAGTGTGTGTGTCAGTGTGCGTATCTGTGTGTGTGTACATGTGTGTGTATGTGTGTGTATCTGTGTGCCAGTGTATGTATCTGAGTGTATGTGTCAGTGTGTGTTTTTGTGTGTCAGTGTGTGTATCTGAGTGTATATGTCAGTGTGTGTTTCTGTGTACCAATGTGTGTATCTGAGTGTATGAGTCAGTGTGTGTGTATCTGATTGTGTGTGTTAGTGTGTATCTGAGTGTGTGTTTCAATGTGTGTATCTGTGTGTCAGTGTGTATCTGAGTGTGTATGTGCCAGTGCGTGTATCTGTGTGTCGAGGTGTTATTCATGTTTGTGAGCTGTGTGTTTCTGTATAAACTCAAATTTATAAACCTGCAGGCGGAGAGGTTTTGTTAGATGGCAGCATGTATAGTTTTTGTTTTAAGATTTTTATATTTTAGAACAATCAATATAGTATATACCTTAAATCATAACTATAAAATGTTTTTAAAAATGAGATGGATTAGTTCTTCGGAGGCTAGCCACCAGAGAGAGAAGTCGCACGACACTGCAGCTCCGATCCAAAAGCGGCCAAATCGCAATTTTCAGGGTCACTCCCTGCTATACCGAGACCCCAGATGTCGGACCCGTACACCTGACGACTATGGGATGCAAAACCAAAAAACCCAAGCAGGATCAACCTCACCTTGGGATGAATATCGGAGAAATGTGGCGCCTAGCACATGGCGTGGTCGGGCCCAAGATGGCCGACCTATCGGGCGGTTGCTTCGATTTTTCGGATGACCTGGCCTCGGACGAGGAAGAAACACCGCCGGCTAAACCCCCGCCGACGAAACCGGACACATCCCCGGTCACACTATCGGCGCTAAAGGGTCTCCTAGCCGACCTACAGACCACCCTGCAGGCTGACATTGCCACAATCAGGGGAGGGCTGCAGGGACTGACAGGCCGAATCGACAAGTTAGAAACCACCACTCACCAGGACTCTCAGCGTATACAGGTGCTGGAGAAAGCGGTGCAGGACCTCCAGCGGCAGAACCAGACCCACGAATGCCGCTTTGCAACCCTAGAAGATCTACGGCGGAGGAATAATTTGAAACTCCGGGGGGTGCCCGACGCTGTCCCCGAAGCGGAGCTGCCACACTTGGTGCGGAGAATGATGGGGGACCTCCTACCACAAAAACAGGCAAAAGCAACACCCCTGGACGGGCTTTTTCGAATCCCCAAACTGGCCAGAGCCCCACCGTCGACATCAAGTGACCTGATAATTCAATTCAGGCACGGAACAGACAAGGCGGCGATCCTGAAGGCAATCAGGGGTAGGCCAAATTATCGCTTTGAAAACATGGCACTGGAATTCTATAATGACCTGTCCGGCAGCACAATGGCCTGGCGGAGGTCGCTCAAGCCCCTCACATCCATGCTCCAACAGCGCAACATTGAGTACCGCTGGCGAATGCCCCGCATGCTTCAGATCATACATGGAGAGACCACACATCAAATCCAGGACCTACGAGAGGCAGACACACTCCTGAGGGATATGGGACTGCCGCAGGACATTCTAATCAACCCTCAGCAACAACCTGAATCCAGACACAAGCATACCTGGAACCCAAGCAAAATTATCCCGTTTACACCTCGCCGAGAGACGCTCTGACCGAGCCCGAGGGAGACTGGAACGGCCCCCAAGCTACTTCGCTTGGTGACTTTAAGTTAATTTGAGTTCTGTGTTTATCGTTTTAGCCAGACTCGACAAGGCACACCACACTAGGAAACACATCCCACATATTAAAATATATATATTTTTTTTTATTTTTTTTCTCCTTAAGTTTTAGCAAGATGATTGAAATATCTTTTTCCATTTGTGTACGACCCAACTATCTCGTGCTTCGCGCCGAGATGGAGCTGGCGGTGACCCCAGCCATTCATAATAAGTAGCATAAAGTATGGTATGCCACGACCAACCACATCAGATAGCACTGTAATCGCAGTCACAGAATAACCTGCACACCCTCTGCTCACAATCTTGTACATAGTTTAGTTGTGGTTAAGCTGTATATATATATATATATAAAGGTAATACCGGAATGTAAGATGCCCTGCCTGGTGGCAACTTGTTTGAATGAGAATCTTAGTTACGATGAAACCTTATTGGCATTGCCTGTTCCTCGGTAGTCAGCATTGCTTACTCTATCATAATCTGAAACACAAACCTTCTGTCTTTCCTACTCCTTAATCCAGCTGTTGCTACATTAAATGTATGCCTCTCACTATCAAGCATAACCAAGATGAGGTCTAGATAGTAAAGCGATGACACGCTACGTAAATATTAAGCCACAGTTATTGTTCGATAAAGTAAAGCAATGAGACAGACGTAGTTACATAGCTTCAACTTTGCTATCTCTCATCTATTATTTATAAAACTGAAATTGAGCTGTCAAAAATTATCTAAATGTAGATATACATACTCACCCACTGCTTAATGTAACGTATTCACTAAGATGTAAGCCTTAGCCTGTTTAAATTTAAAGATGTTCCTACATTGTCTAAGCCTGTTTAAACACCACCAAGCTGTTGAATCTGACTGACAAGCTTCATAATAATTTAACATATAAAATGTGCACGTATTAACATATACCCTATTGTTATAATTGTTACTTGAAAAGCATGAGGAATGCCGTTGGGGTACCGCATGCTCATTGTTATACCTCCATGCACTACAAAAATAAAGAATTTATAAAAAAAAAAATGAGATGGATTAAAGGAGATTATCCAGGTATTATTTTATTTTACTCAAATGAATGCCTCAATCTACATACACAAGCAGATTGTACTTATATTTTCACAAAAATATTTTCTTGTTTACATTTTTTTTCCAATTTTTTTTATGTTTCTTTTTCACATCCTGTCTTTTGCCTTTGTTTTTGTATTGGTATATTGGGAGGATATATAAGACTATCCTTTTTTTTTCTCATATATATGCGATCAGTTAACTTTCACTACATTGTTGTTGTTTTTTTCTGGGCAGTAGTGATTCAACCACTTATATTCAATTAAAAAAAATAAACAGCTCTGTACCATTATATTGAATATACGTTATACGGTATAACATTTCCATTCCAGACGTTAACGTCATTAACACAGTGAGGGAGTTTAAGCATGTGTGGGATAGGCATAAGGCTATCGTAGACTTAAGATAAGGCCAGGGACTAATTAAAAGTATTTAGAAAATTGGGAAGACTAGATGGGCCGAATGGTTCTTATCTGTCGTCACATTCTATGTTTCTATTCCCTCTCTGTATATTGTCTATAAAGTAAATTTTGTGGTCACAACTGGTTTTGCAACCCTAATTGGATTTATTGATAAGTCTGGACCTTCATGTTCATGTTAGTGACTAACGTCAATGTTTCAATTCCATTCACTCATGTGGTGTGAATGCTTTTTGTTGCTCAATTTTTCCCCATCCAGCTTTTGATCTGCAGTGTACAACTAAACCATATTATACTACAGACATGTAAATGGAGTCTGAAATGTTACATAACGTATGATAATGGCAGCAACCCAAATACTCAGTAAAACTATAAATACATAGTACATACACACTTGGTTAACACTACGCTACAAAGAATAATGCATCCCATTAATTCAAAGAAATCATTTAGAGTTGGAATAAAAAAATTATAATTTCCACAGCCTGAAAGTAAATCATGTCCAATTTAGACCAAATTCCAGAAGCCGAACCTTAGGAACGGAGCTTGCCAATCCCTAGTGATAGCCTCAAAATCTGGTCCATCTGAAAATGCAGCCAAAGAGAGCTAGGCCTCATCAGCCCAGCTGTTATACTTATAGTAATAGCGTGTGATTCTAGGGATTTCACAAGCAAAGGAGCACCAGTTGTAATATTGGCAGCTTAACAGAGCTCAAATTAGCAAAACTGCAGCAATTTATCACAGACATGTCAACAATCAAGAAACTATTCAATATTTCTTGAAATGTGTTATAAAAGTAGTAAACACTGTGCCAGTATAAGGTTTTTACCATCACAACATCACTATTACAATCATGGCCGGATTAACATACGGGCTAATGGAGCTGCAGCTCCAGGTCCATGC